CCCTGTGCCTTCCCCGGCCTGTCCAAGGGCCAGCTTGCCCGGACTCCCTGCAGCTGCGGGGTGTTTGGGCAAGACAAGGGAAGGCAAGCCAAGGGAAGGCATGGGGGTGTGGCCTAATGTGCTAATGAGCTGTGTCATCCAGGGTGTGGCCTAATGTGCTAATGAGTTTCTGCTTTTTCTACAAAAAAAGCCCCGATTAGAGCTAATATAAATAGTGCCAACTCCAAGAGACATGCTGACATTATCACATAGAGATCTTCCACCAGTATTTTACCATCTCAAAGGTCTCATTCAGTAGCTTGAATTTCAGGGTAATTATATTTCAAAAATAGTTTCAGAATAGACTTGGGACAGTTGTATATGTAATTGTGTATGGGAGATGGTTGTATTTGATTGCTTGGAAGCCGGTATGCAGGCAGCAGTGTGGAGTAGCTGGAATTAGAAAATACTTAAGAGAAAATGTAATCTATTAAGAAGAACAGTTGGAATCATAGAGTGGGAAGGTACCTCCAGGGTCATCTAATCCAGCCCCCTGCACAATGCAGGAAATTCACAAATACCCCCCACACACACCCCCAGTGACCGCTATTCCACACCCAGAAGTTCCCTGAGAGATTCCGGTGGACTAATAATACATGTTAGATGTCCAGTTTCACATTGTCTTAAAAAATACAGTCAATGAAATTTTGCCTTTGTATTCCTAAATGATATATAAAACTATTCATTGCAAAACTGAAGAGGAAATTGTGAATACTCGAAATTACATTTTCCCTTGATCTTACTTCCTAATTGGTTTGCTAAATCTGAACATATTTAATGATGCTCTTGGAATTGCACAGAACAATTTATATTCAAATAATTTTGTTTTCTGTCATGGTCTAACTATATTCCCCAGGACAGTAAAATGGAACTAAGTTTCCTATTTAAAGTATATAGAACCACAGTCACTTTTCACTTGTAGAGAATAAAAGCAGGTCTAACCTCCTAAAGCAAGAGTATCTGATGAAAGCTTAAGATGGATCAAGATCAACACAACTTTTCAATATATGTTCAGTGGGTAATCGGGTTTGCAGAAGGTCTGAGCCCCAAAGAGGAAATATGTTTGGCAAAAACATTGGACCCTTCCTTCAAAAACATTCCATTTTCTTGATTTAGCCATTGTTCTGGGGTTCTCTGAAACATCATTAAAACGTACTCCCATTCAGGGTGGAGGCAGGATTCATTGCCCTCGCAATGATTTAGGTTTGCGTTGTCATCTCATACTCAAATCTGATTTGCTCCTTGGCAGCAGGACATCGTTACATTATGTATATGTTTCCTGGTTGACTGGGATCATTCAAGAAAAATACTCTTTTACAAAGTGCCAGAGCTTCAATCTAAGAGAGGAAGCAGTGGCAGACTATACTTCCTTAGTGACAATTTGGTATAGTCATAGATAGTAGCAGACACAATTGACTTTTTGCAGTGGACTCTGATCTGTAGAACCAGGTTTGATTCTCCACTTCTCCCCCACATGAAGCCAGATGGATGACCTTGGGTCAGTCACAGTTCTCCCAGAGCTCTTTCAGCCCCACCTACCTCACAGGGTGTCTGTTGTGGGGAGAGGAAGGGAAGGTGATTGTAAGCTGCTCTGAGACTCCTTTGGGTATGGAAGAGCAGGGTATAAAAACTTCTTTTTCTTCTTTCTTCTTCTTCTTCTGTAGTATACTTGTGTTCATACAATATTGTCAAAATCTCACAAACAAAAAATTTGTTGCATGTTCATTTGTAGCATTGTAATAAGATAATCTTTCTTTTGTTTTATATAGAAAAGCTTGCAGAAGCTCAGCGGAGGTTTGCTACACTACAAAATGAGTTGCAGTCCACTTTGGATGCGCAGAAAGAAAACAGCGGTCTTACCACACTGCGGCAGCGTAAAAAGCCAGTCTTCCACCTGTCCCACGAGGAGCGTGTTCAGCATAGGAACATCAGAGACCTGAAACTGGCCTTCAGTGAGTTCTACCTCAGCCTCATCCTGCTGCAGAACTATCAGGTACCTGCTGTGCTCCTTAATGTACTGAGATCTCTTGACTGGTTGCATTTCTTCGTGGAAGCTTATGTTTAATGATTAAGCCATGGGTATCTCTCCTGTTGACAGTGGGTGACTTCATTATTGCTGTAATGAAATGGCTGCCAGGCAGAGGCAGCAGGTTACTTTAAAATGGCTGCCAGTTGGGTAGTCTCTGGAGGGGGGAGGTGCTCCATAGGGAACAATGGAACTGCCATACCTCCCTGGCTACATTACCCAGCGGCTTTAGGGAAAAAGTGCGGGAAAGTATGGACCCACCCCAGGGGCCGGGCCAGGCAGATAAAGGCTTCTGCCCTCCAGGGAGGCTTTTAGTCTCAGCCTAGTCTTGGCCTTTGGCTCAGCTTGGACAGCAGCTTCAAGGGAGCGCACAGGTGGGACTCCTGCTACTCCACACTCCATGGGCAATCTGGGCCACTATAAATCATGGTGGAGAGCCAAGGAGAGTAGCAGTACTGGTGACCAATCCTGAGGTGGGCTGGAGTTTCTCTCCACAGCAACAGGGAGGGGGAAAGCAAATCCTCTCCTGAGGCCACAACCTACAGAGGTAGAGAGGGTGTGTGTAGGGACAGAGGAATTGCAGTTTACTCCTGTTTAATTTCTGTGCCCAGTTGTGTTAATTTTTGTGCCTAACTTCTATATAGTTCAAATAAACCTTTTTGATTTATAAGACCTGGAAGTGCCTTGATCACTTAGTCCTCCCTGCTCAGCACATTACCAGAGGCAAAGGAAGGCTAGGGAACCCAAACGGGCCCAAATTGGAGGGGTTGCCAACTCTCCAGGGGGCACCCAAAGATTGAGGTACCCACTTTCCTGGGTTGGGGAATCTAGGAAGGCAGCGTGAATCCAGTGAGTGGTGGCAGCAAATGAGGAAGGAAATTAGCCCCACCAGACAGGGTGGGCAGGCGAAAATAGGGGCTTGCATGCCAGTGAACGGCTATTCAGTCTCTCAGGGCTGAGGGCGGGTCCCTGTTTCGTCACAATTGCGTTGGGATTTCTCTTCTGGGTGCTCTTAGGGTATCATCTTGTCATCACCCTGACCAATGTCCAAAAGAAGAGGTTGAATGAGAGCATACAGGCTCTGTTCAGACAGGTTCTCAACCTTTAGTTTCTTAAGTCCTACCAATAACTGTTTATTTATTAAAACATTTATATCCCACCTTTCCTTTTAAAGAACTTGGGTGCCACTAAGATAGAACAAAAAGCGGCTTTTTAAAAGCCTACTTTTTCCAAATAGGACATTCAATATGTTTACTGGTATTCTGTTATTACATTTATCAGTTATGGTAAGGACATTAAAAAATGGCAGAAGCACAATAGATAATCTGGCAGGAAGGGTCAAAGACACTTGCGGGTAGACAGTGGGAATGGAACACCAAGTGTCCAAGGTTACTACCAGCATGGCAAGAGGTCACAAATGGATAATCCATGGCAGGTGGGGTCAGCAGGAGATGGCACATCACTCTTCCAGGTGGACACTGGGATTGAAGGAGCAAAAACTTTTAGTAATTGTTATGAAAGCTCTGCACCCCACTAGAATATTTCCACAGCCCACCATCGGTATGCATACTGGTTGAGAACCATTGGCCCAAACCAGTATTATGACTGAGACACGGAATCTTGCACTCTGCCTTTGCTAACGGGTTCCATCAATTTTCTTCTGAAGAAGTGAGCAGTGACTCACAAAAGCTCATACTCTTGCTACATATTTTGTTAGTCTTTAAGGTGCTACTGGACTCTTACTCTTTTCTGCTGCTACAGACAGACTAAAAAGGCTACCCATCTTGACTTTATATAACTTTGTCACTGGAATGGATGTCTTGCTGTTGCTTGAGCATAACGGGTGAAGGGAAATCCCATTTTTGCACACCATGTGCTCCAAGTAACAAAGCAACTCTTTGTCTCTCAAGAGGCAGCGTTTTCAGGTGCCATAAAACAGATAATGACAAGAGGAGGAAGGGAGAGCTAAGCAGGTGAAGAGAAGAGCTAAGCTACTCACTCCCAGATGGATCAAAACAATTATAGCCCAATTTCAGTCACAAAATAGCCGTGGCCATAAGCCAATTGCGAGTGGGCATGGGTGTGTCCAAATGTTGGTTGCCATAGCTGCAACACAGGAATGGCAAGAAGTTTGGAGCCCCACCTGCAGTCAGGTGACCCCAAACTCCAGCTACTTCATGATCTACGTGACTAGTCGCATGTGGGCCAGAAAGTGCAGCCATGAGGTCTGGCGTTTGGCATGAAAGTGTGAAAGAATGTGGGTTTATGGCATGGCTATTGAGGCCATGTGGCCTCATCAATTGGCTTGCAACAGGAAACAAGACACAGCATGTTATCAAAAGACATCACAGGAGAAGGCATGTGAATATAGAAGCAATATTTCTATACAACCAGAGACTAACCAGTTTAGATAGTCCTGTAACTTGGAAAAAAATGTCTAGAGAGCTGTTGGATGTAGAGGCTGGATAAAAACAAGGACAATTCAGTTAAGGGAAATCAAAATAAAATCCTGATGTCTAATTTTTTTATGATTCATATTCTGCCTCTTCTGAATATTTTGACTTTTTAATGCCTCCAGATCTGAAATTATGTTCCTGGGTTGAGAAGGCTCTCTTGTAAGAATTCAGCCGCATGTGATGTAGTAATATTAGGCTTTTGCAATAGCTTTGGCTTCCTGAGGCATTTAAAAAGCTATAATTACTCCCACAGCAAGCAGAATTATTCAGCGCAGGAAAAATCCATGGCCGAAATTATGACTTTGTTTCATTTTTCATTCCAGCTTTGTGAAACAAGGCACAGCTATCTCAAGGGAGGGAAGGGCTGGGTTTCTTCAAGAGAAAGTAATTAAAGTTTCTCATTTGCAGTAATATGTATCATTAATGCACTGGCTTCCTATTCCCATCTCCCTGACCCTTCCCTTCCCTTCCCTGCTCCTGAGCTCCAATATAAGATCACTCCAGGCATAATTAAATTGAAAATCGTTTTCAGCAGAGCTGTTGTAAATGTCTCCCGCAGGCACAGTCTACTGCCATTCTTTGTTTTCTTTCAGAATTTGGCTTGCATTTGTGTCGCTGTCTTAAATAGGGTCACTTTGAGCATTATTACCGATATCTGGATGTATAACCTGAATGGAGCCATTGAGCAAAGAAAACTTTTGTGTATACCATCAGATGCATCATATAGAATTATTTATTTATTTATTTATTTATTCGATTTTTTTTAACCCCTCCCTCCCAGCAAGGGTGGCTCAGGGTGGCTTACAACAAAATAAAACAGTACAATATAACAATAAAATCCAGTCAAAACATATTTAAAACCATAAATCTACAACTATTAAAGTGCTAGCATTTAGCCTCTATATCTCCTCCAGATGTCCTCAATATGAGGAGTAGAAGCCTCCAAGTCTCCTTCAGATGACCCGGGCACACTTGGGGGGGGGCAGGGGGGCTCGCTCTGCATAGGCTGCCGGGTGTCATTGGTGGCAGTGGTGATGCGTCTGATGGTATACACAAAGTTTTCTTTACTCAATATATAATTTTGAAATATGCCATGGTATAAAAACTATTTTACAGTGAAGGCCTCTGCCCATTGCCAAGCTAGAAATCAATTCTGTGCCTTACAGGAAAATGAAGTAATGAACAATGGAAGGTACACATACCATTTAACCTTGAGTTTTGCCTTTTCTGATAAGCTTGGTCTCAGCTATTCTGAATTCTTGGAAAAAGTAATTTTTAAAAAGGTGCTTGAATTACAAGGTTGAATAGAAAATACCTGGTTCTGGTTTAATGTGGAGTCTAATAGCTTTTAAGGTTATAAGGCTATATGTTATTGTGTATTTTGCTTTCTTGTGATATCTGGTTTTTTTGATTGAGTCTGAAGAAGGGAACTTTGAGAAGCTGGCATGGTGTAATGGTTGGAGTGGTGGACTAAGGCTGGAGATGACCTGGTTTGAAATACTGCTCTGCTGTGGAAGCTCATGAACACATGAAGCTGCCTTATACTGAATCAGATGTTGCTTCATTGCCATCAGTATTGTCTGCTTAGACTGGCAGCGGCTCTCCAGGGTCTCAGGCAGAGGTCTTTCCCATCACCTACTGCCTAGAAGACCTTTTAGCTGGAGATGCTGGGCACTGAACTTGGGAACTTCTGCAGGCAAAGCAGAGGCTCTACCACTGAGCCAGACCTCCTCCAAACTCACCAGGTGACCTTGGACCCATCAAAATCTCTCCACCGAACTTAACTTTCCAGTTGGTGGTTGTTATAAGGATAAGGTGGGGGGGGAGAATGATGTGAGAAGCTGCATGGGGGCCCTGTTAGGGAGAAAATCAGGATATAAATAAAGAAGCATAAAATAGTATTGATATTTTTTTCAGAAGATGGAGAAGAGGGTAAAAGGACAGTTGCCTTCTCGTTTTTGTACATACCTGTGTTCTGAAGTGAGGCTTATTCAGGTGTTTTGAAAAGATTCAGAATGTCTTTCCTGTCAGGTTCAATAGAGCAGTTGCAGTCCACAACGATTTATAAGAATAGATTGCTTTATTACAAGTCACTATTGATACACTTCCATGGTCATTGTCAGGAATGAAACTCAAAGCCAAGCATGGACAGATATAGACAGTTCAGACAAACAGGGTTGGCCAATGAATACAGTTTGTGCTCAGTAGGAATTCGAGCGGGAGGAAATCAAGGCGGGAGATAGCTTCCAGCCGTTTGATTCACACCAGCCAGATTGGGAAGGGCTCCAGCAGCAGTTCTCACAGTCTTATCAACTACAAAGGCAGCACAACATTCCAA